TATTTTAAGGATTTCCTTAGAATATTTGGCTTTCCTGTACTTAGACGATATTTATAATGACCATACTAGAGTAATTGTTTTGAGCTATGAAAAATAAGGTTTTTCCCATTGAGTGGCTCAGATGAATGGGAAACAGTAAAATAATTTGAATTGGATGTTCCTTAAAGTCTTTTTTCATAATAGATTCTGATTCCACTATTTATCCCAACTTAGAATAGGAATAATAATTATTATGTGAGATTTTACTATCTGCCAGGCACTCTTCTCAGCAATTTATGTATATTATTTAATTTTCAAAGAAATCTCATGAGGTTGGTACTCTAAGCTAGCATAATAATTGCTATTATTATTATTATTATTATTATTCAATGTCAAATAGCAACTAATGATTCATCAGAGATTGCAAATAGAGCATTTTGTAAGCAAAATGTATCAGAACATTTCATTCACTGAAAATTTCCTCTTTTCCTTTCGAAACCCCAATCAGCTATATACCTGTGCAATGAAATGATTGCTTGAGAAATGATTTTCATTTGGAAATAAGTTCTCGAGGTCCCTTGAATGATGTGGAAGAGTTAGATGCTTTGGGTAGACTTCCCAGGAAATGCATCTGTATGCAGGTGGTTCATCGGGAAAGTGTATCTGTGAGAGAGTCAGGAAAGAAAGGTTGGGCAGGGGGTCAGTATCCGAAGCTGAGATGGCCCTTCACAGATGCTCTGATGACTGGAAGTGGCTGCCCAGAGGCTGGGAGATAGTTTCTGGGGAAACACTGAGGCAGGATCCACCTGCCAGCAGCATTCCTAGCTAGGGGAATGGATCTGAGATGGAACAGAGTAGAATGGGGCAGAGAAGAGTGCAGTCATGTTTTCTATGCAGACTCAACAGGAAAGAAATTATTTTTAGGCATAAATCTGAAAGAATGGAAGAATGGAGACAACAACCAGAACCTCTTAGAAACTAGAACAAAAACTGGTGCCCAGTAAAGGGTTTGTTGAAACCTTTGCTGACACAGCAGAGGGGAACCAGGAAGCGGGATTCACATCCCAAACTCTCCAGACACAGGGACAGAGGGCAGCCCATACTGTGAAGGCAGCAGCAGAGTGAGAATAGGGTGGAAGGTAGAAATCTGTTTAGACGCCATCAGATCTGCATAGCCCATGCCCGCCTCTCCAACCCAGCACTTGCTCTCCCCAACCCCAGAGAAAAGCATTTACCCATTTCTTTATGCAGGGAGGACTATTTTTAGGAGATGGTTGGAGAGAGTTGTTGGGTTGGGTGCCACTAGGGTGGGGAGGTTTGGGGAGGGACCCAAAATGTGGGTTAAATGAATGTATACACACTGGGTGGAGACCCTCCCATCCCCAGCTATCTTCTCCCATTTGATTTTCAGCACAGCCTCTGTTCTCCTGGACAGATAACACTGGCTATTTTCTAGGAAATCTCACCAATGTAAAGGGAAGAAATGAACAAGTTTTTCCATTTAAACAGTTCAGGCAGGTTCCCTCAACAGGCCACTCACACTCCTCCTTAGGTGTCCTGATTTGCAATGCTTTTCACTGTGGGCGTTCAATCAAGAATGCATAGGCTTCCCACATAAAACATAAGAAACAAAGAAGAAAAAAGTGGCTCAGAGAAAACAGAGCCCATCCAGGGAGGAAATAAAACATGAAAAATACAAGCCCTGCAAATATCTCAGGGATAAAAGGATATGTTGAAACTGTGAAATGAAAACAGTTCAAAAAAAGAAAGAAAAAAAAGAAAGAAAAAAAAAAGAAAGAAAGAAAGAAAGAAAGAAAGAAAGAAAGAAAGAAAGAAAGGAGAAAGGAATAAAGAAAGAAACAAAGAAAGAAAGAAACAAAGAGAAATCCAACATTCAGAGTTCATAAAAGAGCTCTCGGAAATTAAAATGTGATAGAAAAAAAAAACACAATAAAATCATTACATGATAAAGCTCCCTGAATCCTCCAGAAAGTAGAGCAAAGAGATGAAGTGGCATAAAAGTAGGAGAGCTGAGATCAGAGAATTACAGGACAGTTCCCAGAGGCCTGATGAAGGAAGGCAGGAGTCATGCTCAGCAATCTGAAGGATAAGAATTTCTGAACTGGAATTCCATGCTTAGCCAAACAAGCAGTTAAAGACAAGGTAGAATAAACACATTTTTCGACATGCAGCGTCTTGGATATTTGCTCCAATGGACTTTCCTTAGGAAGATGCTAGATGCCACAGTCCCCCAAATCGAGAAAGGACACGTAGGCTATTCCTGAATAGGAAACCCAGAGAGCGGGGATGCAAGCATCCCCCGCGAGGGCGTTCACTGAGACAGTCGGGCTGGAGGTTGGGCGCCAGGCATAAAACAACAGGTCCCAATGGTAGAAGACTCCAGGAGGAAAGATAGAACACCCTATTTTGCTGGAACAGCTGGGAAGTACTTGAGGTTGAAGTAGTAAGTACTTAGGAAGCTGTAAGATAATTATTATCTTAGGAAAACCAAAGCTGTAAGTTACAGAAAACTCAAGTTGACTGTGTGTCTGAGTTAAGATCTGTTTTTTGTCGTATCCTAATAAAGAGAACTTTGTTGAATGACTACCGTGCAGGGACGACGGGGGTGCATAGGAGCTGAAAAATGAGTATTGATGATGTTGCTGTCATGTGTCCCAGGGGGAAATCTATGAAGACAACAAGTGAAAAATCAAGAAAAGCATAAAACAGGTTATTTGCAGAAATGTAGCTAAATACAGAAAGAGCGAAAAGAGGTTCAAGTACTTGCCTCTGAGAAGGAAGAATTGGGGATGGGGGAGGTGGAGGCATTTAAAAAAATTTCTTGTGGAATTGTTTGATTATTCATATATATGCATGTATAACCCTGAAAGAAATTCTTACTAAAAGGTTGCACAAGGGGAAAAGGAACTGTATGAATTTTATCAGTCGAGAAGAAGAGTACATTTATTGGCCTGAATGAACTGCTTTATTCTCTATGAAATGACTTTAGTCATAGAGTTTGCTAGTCAGCAAACTAGCTTCTGAGTTTGGGAGAGCTTCTTACTTGGATGAAATCATTAAATATATTCTTGTTATATTCTAAAATGTTGATCTAAATGACCTTTAGATTTCTATTCTTATGATCTTAACTATAAACTCTCTTCTTTGTAGAATATAATTTTGGAAAACGTATACTTCAATAAATGATTAGCCTACTAGTGAGGTATCGTATGTGAAAAAAAGAAAATATCATACATTAAAAATGTCGGAGCTGCAGACCTCATTAATTCAGTTTTTTTTCCATATTCTATCTAGGAGAAGGTGAAGTTTACCTTTGAATGCCTAAGAAGAAATGAATATTGTAAGCATCATTATAAGGATATCTTGGTCATTTCTTTAAAAGAAACTGAAGATTGTAGTATATAATATTGTATTTAATAGAGTCTCTTTTTTTTAACAAATATATATCGAGTGTATTCATGTAATAAATGCTTGTTAAGGATCTATTTTGTTCAGGCATTCTACTACGTATTGGGAACACAAAGCCAAAATACATAGTTCTTGCTTTTAAGGTGACAGATGAATAAGGAAATTGACATAAAACTAGCAAGTGTGCTGGAAAGGACACATAACAGTGGCTCCATTGAAGAGTTAACGTAGAGTGGACTTGCAGCCCAGGAGAGAGTGTAGACTTCATACAGGGAATTTCAGGGGAGTTGAACTTGAAGCATAAATGAGAGTAAAGTCCGTGGACTGATGGGAAAGAATCCAGGACCAAAAAGCAGTCTTGGGCAGTGGTGAAAGTATCATGTGTTCCGGGAAGAGCCAGTAGCTCAGGATGTCCTGAAGCACAGGTCAAGGAGTCTGAAGAGATGGGAAAAGACATTTTAGATTGTATTATGTAGGTGGAGGCAATGAGACACTATTAATAGCTGTTATTATCAAGAGCGAACATTTTCAAATGACTTCTCCATGCTAGGCACTAAGCCCAGGTCTTCACATACCAAATCTTACTTAAAACTACTCTATCCTCACTTCGAAAGTTTCAGGCTTGAGGATAGCACAATACAATTTGTGTAGAAACTTTATTCTACCATTCTTGAGAAAATGTGGCTGTCGAGTGAAAAGAAAAAAAAGACACAGAATGGTTTAAGTAGCTACTTAACAACATCACATATAACAGGGCAAGGGACAAGATCGGAAAGATAGAGGTAGCCAAGCGTTTTATTCTTTTTACCACTTTGAAAGTTTCTAGAATATCCATCAATCAATTTAAAAATGAGAACAATGTCTTATTATAGAGGAAGAGGGGAAAGGAGGGGGGAGAAAGAAGGGATTTGGGGGGGTAGGGAAGAAAAGAGAGAGGGAGCAAAGGAGACAGTCATTCACGGGGAGGCAGGTGCTGGAGGAGGGGAGGCTGGAAACAGAACTCCTAGAGGGACGGGGAGACCCTTCCGGCAATGTCCAGGCACAGGATAGGCATCCTTCAGCAGAACAGCAAACGGAAGAATCAGAGCATAATTTACCAAATAAATCCAAAGGAAAGCCCCCCCCCCACCCCGCCCTTGGATGCTCGGGCGGCAAGAAGGAGAGCGAGGACCCCTGAGGTTGGGGAGACCAGTGAAGGCGGTTCCCGAAGCTGTGATGCTGTGATTGGGGGGTTGTTTGGCTTAGCACAACCAGTTACTAGCTGTGGCTTTGGGCGATGCACCAGTTAATCATATTCCTGGTGAAGAGAAGGGGTGGTGGTACGATCCTGGGCACCCAGCGGGTACTTCCCCTGGTATGAGCTCCAGGGATAGGGAAAGCACAGTGAGGCATTTGCAAAGACGGGCCTGCGCACAGTTGACGGACCATGCACCCACATGGTCTCCGCTGGCCTCTCCTTTACAAAGGGCTCCGGGCCGCAGCCAGGTTTTGTGGCTCAGAACTGAGAGAGTTGACAGCTTCTGTCTCCTGGGAGCTCCTCCCGGCAGCTCGGCCTTGCGCTTAACCGCACCCTGTCTTCCTCCCGTCCCCAGGGCTCTACGAAACCTTCCTAACCAACGATGAACCCGAATGCTGTGATGTCAGGAGAGAAGAGCGCCCGAGCAAGCCCTCCAGAGGGACGCTGGGGCCCGGCAGCGCCTGTCACAGGACGTCGCCCACAGTGTCATCGGCAGGCAGACTGTGCCACAGCAGACTCAGACTGTGCGTGCTCGTGCTGATCCTGCTGCACACAGTGCTCACGGCCTCCGCGGCGCACAACGGCACGGCGCTGGGCCTCGGGGGCGTGCAGGCGCTGCACGAGGGCTCGCCGCGCGACGAGTAGCCCGGGGGCGCGGGGGCGCGGGGGCGCGGGGGCGCGGGGGGGCGGGGCGCGGGGGCGCGGGGCGCGGGGGGCGGGGCCGCCGGGGCGCCCCCAGCCGCTGCCCCAGCCCCGGCCCCGGCCCCGGCCCCGGCCCCGCCCCGCCCCGCCCCCGCGCCAGCCGCCGCTCGGACCCACCCTCGGGGCGTTCTTACCCTCTCGCCGCTGCCCGGGAGGCCGTTAGGGAAAAACTGAAGATGGGCCTGGATCCAAACGAGGACGCAAACACAGCTTTTTATTGACTAAAAGGCTGTAAAGTGACTTAAATTTCTCACACCATTTTATACACTGTGTTTTAATGTTTGGAGGTTTTATTTGCTTTCCTTCGGTTTGGATTTATTTGTTTTGTTTTAATCTTCTTTTTTATTTCTTTTTTTTTATTTTTTGCACTCGTTACTACAGGATTTATTTTCGGGGATGGTTTCTCAGAGGTAAACTAAGTCTTCACTGTCTCTTTCTCTCTATCTATATATATATTTCTAGTCATTGTGTGTGTTCATCAGATAGTTCTGTCTCTATGTCCTGTCAGTTTCTATTAGAGGAATGATCGCTATGACCTCACGGTATAGCAAAATACAACAACAACAACAACAAAAAAAATCATAAAAGATAAAAAAAGACAAAAAAAAGAAAACAACAAAAAATACAAATAAAAAAAAAAAAAAACCCCTAACTCTTCCCTCCTGCCTCCAGACCCCACGGCCCTCCCAGCACCTCCCCCTCCCCCTCCCCCTCCCCCCGCCCCCAGCCTCCCCTGCCCCCCCCCCCCGCCCCCAGCAGACAACGTGGCTTGCTTCTGTTTGTGCAGCCGCAGTGCGGGCGCGCGCGCTCCGGGGCTTCGGGCCGCAGCGGTCCGCCCCACCGGGAGCAGAACAAGGGGTTCCTTTTTAGCTGAACAAACAAGTGCTCTCCATGGTAGGCGGAATCAGACACTTAACACATTTTTATGTTGACAACAAAATAAAAGCAAAGAAAACCACCGTGAACTATGTTGCTCCAGTTCCCCTTCTCCGAGCCCGCCCCCCCCCGCCCGCTGCCCCCACCCCAGTCGGGATGCACGAGGCTGGAAGCCCCCCCTGCAGGACTGCAGGCAGCCTTTCGTGCACATCTCGGTGTGGGGGGGCCTTTGAACGACAACAGAGGGTCTGAGGACACAAATCTGGGTTTCTTTCTCCTCTCTGTGGTTGTGGAGGAGACCGTAGAGATGCTCCAACACCTGCAGTATACAGAGTATGTACGATTTTACCCCAGTATCTCCCCAACCCATAATTTAAAATTTTCCAGGTATAAAGTGTATGCAATTCTGCATTATCACAAAAGAACTTGTTAAAAGAAATAGATTAGCCATTTTCATTCAAGTGCAAAAACTTTGTCACTCGAACACGCTCTAGATAGTTGATGAGAAAAGAAGTCAGATCGCTCTGTTTGTATTTTTCTTTTTGTGGGAACATTTCACCTGCTGAGTGTATATGAATTTGCTTTCTAAAAAAAAAGGCTTTTATGAGTTTACAGTAGAATCAGTGGAAGGAAGAGTTCATAAGGGCTGTTTTTAAAAAAACAAACAAACAAACAAACAAAACAAATGATTAAAAAAAAAAACACTTCACATTCCTTCCTATACTCTAACTACATTTGGGAAGTGCACTTCAGATATGTTTGCTGTGTAGCTGGGAGATGAAGGAAAACCATAGAAAAGGTCCTCGTAGCGAACAAAATTTAGTTATTAACTTTATAGCTATGAAATTCCCCCTGGCATTTGTTTTTGTTCAAACAAACTTTAATCTCTGCATCATACTTAACCCTGCGACATGCGTACAGTATGCATATTTTGTTTTGAATAAAAAAATGTTTTGTTCCAGTCTGTTAAGAATATTCAAAAAATAATAAAGGTATTGCTTAATAAAATTGCTAGAATTGTTTAGCAGTACATGCACAAATATTTTACTAGATTCTTCGTTTTAATAGTGTTTTGTTGAGACTGAAAATCCTAAAATGGTCTGCGCAAATACAAAAAAAAAACACCAAAAATCCATAATTCTCCAGTTTTTGTTCCTTTTTTAAAAATGTTTTTTTTTCCCTGGAAATGTTAACACACATTCACAAGTGCATGTGCACGCACACACACACACACACACATAACAGGCACAGTATTTTTAATTTACAGAAATACAGTGCTATTTCTGGGGCCACAGTGGGTGGAAAGAGGGTTGGGGGAACTGAGTTGTGGTGAGTGTTAAACACTCGTAGAAATCAATGTGTTTACAGGCCATCTACTGATAGGCCACAGATTTCTGTGGAATTGGGGGATGACAGAAGTAGGGAAGCAGTGGTTGGAGGGTGAATGGGTGCTGACTCATAAGAAAAGATTTAAGGTGAGCTCTTTTTCAATTGCCCTCTTTAAGGGCTTTAAGACATATGGCTAGGAAGAAGTTTGTTCTGAACTTCCCCTACCTCTGCCATGCAAAGGCCACACCACAGTGCATTTATCCAGTGCTCCTCATGCTTTTGTTTGTGCCATGGGAATTTCCATTCTTTGGGACGATGACAAATCAACACAGATGCAAATTCCACCCACTCTCATGGGAAGAAGTTATTATTTCTAGGCACTGGCAACATGATTGAAAAAAAAAAAAACAGTATCCCATGACAATCAGGGTTCCATTTTCTCTTAGTATCTTTTGCATCTGGTTAATTTTTTTTTTCAAATATAGAGGGATTGGAAGATACCACTGGGCCATGTTTCAGCTTTAGTTTGGGGAAGATGGCAGCCAAAAGAGGGAGACCAAAAACCACCACTACTTTACCAGACAGGTAAGTCCTCCAGAAAACAATTTCAAGGGTTGGGAGAAACAGCACACAGTATTTAATTGTACTGTGAACCTATAATTTAGGTGAGGAAGGGCTGGAAGGGAGAGGGCAGGGATGAGTTACATCCCACACGTCAACCATTAGATTGTCGCTCCTTCTATCTAGTAGGATTCTTTTCTTGCCATATACGTTTATTCTTATTATGTGAAAATAATCTCAGTGCCTGGTATTTAATACTGTAAATGTGTAAGTACTTCCCTATGACATTTCCACTGACACAGGGAACTAAAGCAGCTTTTCCTGGGGTCAGCCAAAGGAACTGAACAGGCAATGACTCCTAGTCAGAGTCAAAAAGCAGCCATTGAAGATGCAAATCTCACTACACCCACATTTAGTTTTTCCACTTGATCAACATACATATGTTAATTCTACACACAAAAAAATTAGGACACTGCACCTTTGCTTTTTTAAGATTTTATTTATTTATTCATGAGAGACACACAGAAAGAGAGAGAGAGAGAGAGAGAGAGGCAGAGACACAGGCAGAGGGAGAAGCAGGCTCCATGCAGGGAGCCTGATGGGGACTTGATCCTGAGACTCCAGGATCACGCCCTAGGCTGAAGGCAGGCGCTGAACCACTGAGCCACCCAGGGATCCCCAACACTGCATCTTTGTAATCGTCATCCCATTTTATTTTTCTTATAGTGGATATCCATGGCATAGCAGATAATGAATGACAATATTGAGACTTTTATTTCTGAAAGCAAATTGAAAATCAAGAAAATAATATTTCATCCACAAATGTGTAGAACAGTCTTCCTCATGTTTAAAATTGTCTTTTTTTCTGCAATAGAGAAATTCCAGCTTGTGGAAGATTTTGATTCTGGAAAACCAAATGTCAAGTAACATAGTGGAGTTGGAGGTCATGCCTTACAGCATTTACATTCAGTGAGACTTCAAACTGACTGTTCTTTCATTTAAAAGATCATGTTGTGGGCAGCCTGGGTGGCTCAGTGGTTTAGCGCCGCCTTCAGCCCAGGGCCTGATCCAGGAGACCCGGGATCAAGTCCCCATCAGGCTCCCTGCATGGAGCCTGCTTCTCCCTCTGCCTGTCTCTGCCTCTCTCTCTCTCTCTCTCTCTCTCTCTTTCTCTCTCTCTCTCTGTGTGTGTGTCTCTCATGAATAAATAAATAAAATCTTAAAAAAAAAGATCATGTTGTTCCCCTCTCTCACTATATAGTAAGTGAAAGTTGTTCATTTAAATGGCATCTTTAGAGACAAAGGAATGTAGTTCCTTACCAATGAATTGCTGCCATTAAGTACTAGAACCTGTAGTCATTAAAATAAAAGATTTAAGTCAGGCAGCAAGGAAAGAAAGGAAAACAAGAAAGAGAGAGAAGGAAGGAAGGTAGGAAGAAAAACAAAAATGGATTTTTATATGAATGAATAAGAACATCATTTTTGCCAGGAAAAAAGAATAAATGAAAGATCCATGTGCCCAAGAGATTGCATTTGATACCCAGACAGCATTAAAACATTGATCAGTCGGAGACACCATTTGTGTTCTTTTTTAACAACTATATTTGCTACTGGAAGTATTCAGTCAGAGATATGAAAGGTGCATCTTGTTTTTACTAGAATTGCAGACAGGTATTTGATTATATACACATGCAAATATACATATAAGGAGGAAAGCTATAATGCTATAGCACGCCTTCGTAGTGATATGTAGGCATATAATGTATATGTATATACATCATTTACAAGTAAAACTTTAACCACAAAATTATTCCATCCATGGCAATACACACATAACATTATAATGAATGAATTCTATATTTGTTTTGCTAAAGTTTGAGCAGCATGCTCATTTAAACACTCTACCTACTTTGATGCAGAAAACAGACTCTCAGATTGTCTCTATTAGTGAAGGAATAATAATTTTTAAGTAATCAGAATCTTCTCTATCTCCCAAGCATTAATGATGTTTAGAAAAAAATGAATATTTCATGCAGGTACTGAGCGATGGTGAACAACCAGTCTTTAAATGGGAAGGGGGAAAAAACCAAGTGGAGCATAAAGCAGTATCTCCACAACATTTATAAGAAATTTGAAACTGCTTCAGAGCCTAGAAATTCTCTGTGCAATGATAAAAT